TTTTTTCCAAAAAAAAAAAAAAAAAAAAAAAAAAAAAAAACTAAACACGAATAAACCATTTGACAGTTCTAATTATCAAGATCCATTTGAAGATAATTTTAGATTGTTAACGGGTAAATCTATCTTATCGAAATTATAATCCATTACGAATTAACCAAATATAGTCCATAAAAATAAAACGCGTATAGACAAGCCCAATTGAACCCGGACTAACCATTTGACACCCCATAATCATCAAAAACCCTAATTGTAATAGTCTTCTCTTTATTATCTCACAGTTACTTATCATCATCACCTCCCTCCTCTCCTCCTCCACTCCGCAGGCTCATTCTTCCAAGGTAAACTCTACAGCTAACTCCACTGATTTTTTATCTTTTTTTTATAGAAAATGCATCACTTTATTTATTAACCTCTCTCACTCTTCCTCTCTGGTGTATGAATTCTCCTTCGAGTAAGATCTGATTTTGATGAAACAGGGTTTGTTGAATAATTTTCTTGATTAGGTTTTAGAGATTAAAATGGAACCCTCCGTCAATGTCAACGCCAATGGAAGTATGTTCCGTAACAAAACCAGCAATGCATTTGTTTGCTACCATCTCAACAAGCTGTTAGCCTCACAGTTTAATAAACCCCCTCAAGATATTGCAGAGGCCTCAAGATCTGCAGCAGCGGCCGCCACGGCCGCTGCTGCAGCTGCAAGGGCGGCAAGAGCCAACGCAAATGCGAAAGCTTATGCTGCTGCTAAAGCTGTTGCTGCTGCTAAGGCTGCTCTGAATTTGATTGCTTCATTTCCTAACCAGGAGGAGGTTAGGAAGGACAAACATCTTGTTGTTGTTGAGGCTGAGGATGAGGTTGATGAGGACTGTGACGTTGTGTTACAGGATCAGGAGTTGGCTTCTGGAGACGCGGGTAATGGTATGATGGTGGTGGTGCCAGATTCTACTCCGAGTTGTGAGCAGAGGAAAAATGAGGAGTGGTCTACAGGGAGGTTGAGAGAGAGGGTAAGTGGAGAGAATGATGTTAACTCTAATAAGAGGAGTGGTGTGGAGGTTGGTTCGTCTAGTAGAGTGGTTGAGTCATCGGTGAGTGGACAAGGAGGAGGTAAAGAGGATGTTCAGAAGCCGACCAGGAAGAGAGGCCGGCCGAGGAAACATTAGTTGGGTTGTGGTTTAACTTTTAGTGTTTTGGTTCGTAGATTGGATGAGTTCAGTGAAAACTTTTAGACTGTAATTAACAGTTGTGGCCATCTAATCAGGCTAAACTTTTTTTTTTATTGGTTTAAGTTAACATTGATGCTGCTGGAGTTGAGTAGTGTGACAGAATAACATTCTTTGTTCTTACATTAGAACACAACATCTTTAGATTATGTTTGAGCAGTAACTTTTATTTCAGTTTTGTTTGTTTGTATGTTTTTGTAACATTGGACCAGATAGTTCAACAGCTTGTAAGTGGAATCAACGATCAAATCAGAGTGAGGATTAGGACTCAAATCAATATCTTCCCACAAATTCTCAGCTTTCTGCCACTTGTCCCATTTCTCAGCAAGCCCATCTCCTTCAAGCATCCTTACAACCTCTGACATCTTTTGTCTTTCCGTTGGAGAGCCTTGCGTGCAAAGAAACGCTACTGAATCACTCCCTGTGAAGACGGCAAAGACAAAAGTTTGCCAAGTTCAAGTGTGAAGCAGAGTATGGCTTGCTCTCGATACTACCCCACAATACAATTCTACACAAACTTGTGCTTTTTTCATTACCATAACCATTTTCAATCAGACATTACTAGGCCGCTAAAAACCATATAGGCATCTTGTTTATTAAAGAAATAAAATGTTTTTTTTTTTTCATTTTACTGAAAATCTTCACCAGTGACCAAAAACTAGTGTCAACAGGATTTAAACGAAGGGAGGAGAGTTTGACTTGAGCAGAAAACAAAGACTGAAATAAAAAGAGAAGGAAAGAAAGATGAACACAGTAGTTTGCTGGACGTATAACTTTCTCTTTTTCCTTTATATTTTGATGGCTGGACTGTTCTACAAAGACGATCTCAGCACAAATAAATGCTTACACTAATAATACATTCACTCTCCAATTTCATGTCAGAGATCTCAGAGAGAGAGCCTTTTCTTTCTATGGTGACTTGTGTGCAAACTACCCTTTTCATCTATGAGATTCATGGCGTATAAGACAACAACCTCAATGCTATGAAGGCTGCACCGTATGGTCTTGTTGCTTGAGAGCTTGTTGAAGCTTTAGGACCTCTTGCTGTTGTTCTGGAGTCAGCATCCTCAGCTGTTCCGGCGTAAGGTTCATTACTTGCTGGAGCAATGTTGACTGAACATCCGGGGACAAAAGTGCCTAGAGAAAAAGATAATCAATCAACGTTTTTCTCATCCAATTATGTGAGTTGGTTGTACCTGAGGCGCTTTCTCTTGTAGTTGTAATGGATTATGAAGCATTGAGTTAGACGCATGGCCTGTATGAAATGGAGTGGTGGTTCTCCTATCATCCACTCTCATCATCTTCGATGGTCTATCTATTGATTCATGAGGTCGCTCATTGTTTATTCTTTTGCCATAGTTTAGTGATGCCATTTGTCCACCTTGCTATAAACACAGACGTTAAGTAATCTTTAGAGAAAAATGTAAAAACAACTACAAGTAAGAAAGTATAAAAAACTCCACCTGCATCACAGAGTTCGTTAATGGTGGCCGAGGTACTTGAGATGGTTGGATAGCATTATTAGGAACTGAAGTCTGAACACTATAACCTATGCTGGTGGAAGCTGGAACCACTTGTTTTTGGCGTTGGAATGGAGCAGCGGTTTCGCTGAGACCTTTAACTTGGGACCTAGGGGGATTCACAACAGAAGAAGAAGGGCCTGGTTGTGCTACTACTAACTGTGGAATCTGACTAGAAGGTTGTTGAACCGGAAGCTGACTATGTGGATTGCGATTTAGCTGTTGTGGCCTTTGTGCCAGTGGCGGTAAAAGGTTTTGATTAGATAGATGTGTGTCTTGAATTGACGACCCTGTCATATGATTTGGGGCCTGAACAATATTTGGCGTCTGTAACTGCACAATTCAAGAAGGGAAACAGCTTTCCTAAGACATAACAGATGGATAGAGAAGGAAGAAGAGCAAAACCATTCAGCTGAGATGGAAACTTACGACTTGTGGACTCACAATCCCAAGCATTATCTGTGCCTGCAACAATAGAGAAGGTATAGATTCAAAAGATGGTGTATGAATCATAATGTAATATGAACTATTTGGCAATAATGAGAAAGTGAGAAAAACACCCTGGGAAATACACTCAAAAGCATGATTTCTACAGAGAAACTAAATGGATAGTTCCATCCTAGTTTCCATGACATCACCAAAAGACTAACTAATAATAGCATTGGAAAGAGTGCACGAGAGAGACAAATGATTTGCAGAGTTAGTAGATGGTAAGTACCAGAAAGACAGCTTTTAGCAAGTCAGGTCTTGAAACCAACAACTGTCGAGCTTCTTCCTTATTCTGCGTAGCCATTAACTGACCATTCACCATTGGTGAAAAAAACAGTCACAATCACACCACTCGTATACAATAGTCCAACAAAACGTCAATAAACAACTAATTTCACACCTTAATGGAGGATATAATTTCAGAGAGTTGACTTCTGGACATCTTGGCAAAATGAAGAGTCAGGGGATCACTAACTGAAACCTGCAGTGTACTTTGCGAACCAACCTGTGGACCACCTAGCGCACCTGCCATAACAGACGCAGCTTGCATAGCGAGGTGGACACCAACCGGCTGATGCATATTCGAATCAACAGTCTGCTTTTGAGATTCTGTCATCAAACCAACAACAATAACTTTCACTTCTCCAAAAGACAGTTCTGATCAATAAAGTTCCAGAAACTAAAACAAAAACCAATGTTCAAGAAATCGCTAGTTAGTCACCTTATATAGGATTATTGATAAAGCGGAAGTCTAAACCGATATTTTGAACGTTTAGACCAGTTTAAAAAAAATCCTTCACAATGATATATCTAATCCATGCATAATAAAATGAAAAACTGATACAAATCATTATAAAATAATAGTTTATTTCAGATCCAATTTGCCAAATAGGCGGACGCTTATGCATAGGCGCTACCTAAACCGATTTTTAGAACACTGATATAAACATACCAGTAGTAGCAGCAACAGCAGGCAAACCAGGTCCTCCTTGACCCTAAATCAAAAAGTTACCACCTTCAAGTTAAAACTTAATAATATAATAAAAGCTTCAACATTTTTAAGACATTAAGACAGGAGTAAAACCTGATCTCGACTTTTGTCGGTTCCTTTATCATTCTCAGCGAAATCAACTCTTAACTGCCGCCCATTAATTTCATAACTCTGGAGATTACGACGAGCACTCAACGCTGTCTCCTCGTCCTTATACTCACAAAAACCGTATCCCTTCGGTTTACCAGTTTCTCTATCAGTAACCAATCTGCAAAGATGGTTCCTTTATCAAAAACCTAGACACGAATCAGGTTTTTTGGATCAAAGACTGACCTAAATGAGACAACAGGTCCAACTTCTCCACAAATCTCTCGGAGTTGTTCCTCTGTTGCGTCGTAAGGAATGTTCCCAACTAAGAGGAAGAAGAAAGATTCAGTGATTTTGAAAATTTTGAAGATTGAGAGGAAGAGAGTGAGAGTATCGAAGACGCAGCGTCGTTGGGATGAAGAAGAAGAAAAGCCATGTTGGAATCAGTAAGTTGAAGCGCGGCTTCTTCTTCTTCCAGCGAAGAAAAAAAAATAAAACGTAATTTGGATTTGAAAAAGTGGTTAATGAGATTCGAACCGTGGTGGATTGGTGGAATTCTTTTCTCCTAAAACTTTCAACGAAAAAGCCCATGATGGGCCCATAGTATCCCACGTAAATCTCGGACTATATCTGAAGAGACGCATCAGATAGATACCGCTTCGTTTAATTAGCGAACCTATATATACACCACAAAACATTACTTCTTATCTCTTTACTCCTTTCGTGAGTTAACCTAAAAAAAAATCAAAATTTTTGTTATCTTAGGAAAAAAACCTAAATATCAGCGTTATGGCGGCAGAGAATGCATCAGGAATTGCCCCCACGACAGCGATGGTTGATCAAGTCTTTAATCAACAAGAGGTCCCTGTAGTAACTCAAGTAGCGCATCCTAACTTGTCGCTCTATGTCGGAGATTTGGACCAAAGTGTCAACGAGGCACATCTCTTGGATCTCTTCAACCAAGTGGCTCCTGTCCAAACAGTTAGGGTTTGTCGTGACTTGACTGGTCGTTCACTTGGATATGCTTATGTCAACTTCGCTAACCCTAATGATGGTATGTAAATTTTTTTATTGTATGATTAAATAATTGTTGCATATTCGTTATAGTTTTTATTTTATTTTATGTAAACAGCGATGCGAGCGATGGATACTCTCAACTACATACCGATAAAAGGCAGACCTATAAGGATCATGCGTTCGAACCGTGACCCGAGCACGAGACTTAGCGGTAAAGGCAACGTTTTCATCAAAAACCTAGACGTAACGATCGATAACAAAGCTCTCTACGATACGTTTTCGACCTTTGGGGCTATTCTCTCTTGCAAGGTGGTTATGGACGTGTATGGAAAGTCCAAATGTCACGGGTTTGTTCAGTTTGAGAACGTAGAAACCGCTCAGGCCGCTATAGACAAACTTAACGGGATGTTGCTTAATGATAAGAAAGTCTTTGTTGGACACTTTGTCCGACGTCAGGACAGGACTAGTTCCGAGGGTGGTAGGGTGCCACGTTTCACTAACGTGTACGTGAAGAATTTGCCTAAAGAGGTTAATGATGATGAGCTTGAGAAGACGTTTGGGAAGTATGGTGATATTTCGAGTGCTGTTGTGATGAAAGATGAGAGGGGGGAGTCGAAGCGTTTTGGGTTTGTGAATTTCAAGAGACCTGAGGACGCTGTGGTTGCGGTTGAGAAGGTGAACGGTGTTAGTCTTGGTGAGGAGGTGTTGTTTGTTGGGAAGGCTCAGAAGAAGTCTGAGAGGGTAGAGGAGTTGAGGAGGAAGTTTGAGCAAGAGAGGATAAGCAAGTATGAGAAGTTGCAAGGGAGAAATCTGTATGTGAAGAATCTTGATGATAGTGTGGATGATGAGAAGCTTAAGGAGGTTTTCTCTGAGTATGGGAATGTGACATCAACCAAGGTTTTGTAGTTAATCCTTAAAATACATATTTTAATCATGCATTAGTTAGTTTAATGTTACATTGGTGTTTACATGCATGTATCTATGTATTAATGTTATTGATTTTACTAAGTGTTTTTTCTTTTTTGGGAACGTGTTTAGGTCATGATGAACTCAGCAGGTTTGAGCAGAGGGTTTGGTTTTGTTGCGTATTCTAGTCCTGAAGAAGCTTCAAAAGCGGTGAGTTTCAACTAGCTTCACAATCTTTTTTACATATATACACTTTAGTTTTAATCTTAATGGTTTTCATTGGTGTTATACAGATGAATGAAATGAATGGCAAAATGATGGGAAAGAAACCTCTTTACATTGCTTTGGCTCAACGTAAGGAAGAGAGAAGGAATCGCCTAACTCAGGTTCTTATACTACTCTCTCTATATCTCTCTCTCTGAACTGTATGATTTGCATTGTGACATTGATTCTCAAATTATCTATGTTTCAACCAGACCAAGTTTGCTCTGGTGAGACCGAACGGGACAATGATCACTCCAGTGCCAATTCCTATGCTTCATCATTATCACCCACCAGCAGGGGCAATGGATGGACCACATCATCAAATTTACTTGGGCGGCCAGAACGGTCAAGGTCTGAGGTCGTCACAACCTATGGGATATGGCTACCAATTTCAGTTCATGCCTCGGTCTGGCCCGGCTAACATGATGATGTCTTACCCTCTTCATAGGCAAAACCAGCATGGTCCCCGGGTTGGGTTTAGGCGTGGCGCTACTAACATGCAACAGCTCTTCCAGCAACAAGAACAGGTATGTAATGTTAACCATGATCTTATCTATGGCTATTTGAAAGTTTGTTAAATTCATCTTGGTCTGGTAGATCATGCAGCAAGGAATGAGATACATGGGAGGTGTAGGCAACATGAGGAGTGGTATGGAAGTATCTGCTCCACAAGGCATTGTCTCTTTGCCATTGGATGCATCTGCAATTTCTCAAAACCCACAGGAGCCACAACTCCTTCCCATTTCTAAGCTCACCTCTGCCATGGCTTTGGCCAGCCCCGCCAATCACCCACAGGTATCGTCTCTTGTCTCATCTGAAGACTTTGCATGAGATTAAATGAACTAAATTGAATTTGGAATTGATGACAGATGCTTGGGGAGCAGCTCTTCCCACTTGTGGAGAAGTATGAGCCAGTACATACTGCCAAAGTCACAGGGATGTTGTTAGATATGGACCAAGCGGAGATCTTGCACCTTTTGGAGGCACCTGAAGCTCTTAAGGCCAAAGTGTCTGAGGCTTTGGATGCACTTAGGGCCGTTGATGAACATATTGCTCCCTCATTTGAGTGAAGAGACGATATTCTGCTGGCTTTATTAGACTGTCTTAAAAAAAACTTATAGGAACTCTTATCTTAAACTAGTTTTTTTTTCGTTTGCAAGGTTGGTTTGTTTTGAGTTTTAATACTCATAGGTCTTTTTCTTTTCTTTTGAGACTTTAACTCTTACCTTATGTAGTCATTATGAGACTATATCTAATGATAGAACTCTTTTACCTTCTCTGGTTTGGTTGCAACTCGTTATTATATTCCTTTGCATATTCTCAAATAATCTGCAGCATCCATTGTTATACATATTTCTAACTCTGATTAGATGAAATTTGAATGGAACTCGTTATCTACCATCTAGTATTCGATATTAATGATATAAGTTACTACTTATATCTTCTTATTGCTTCTCTTCCGCCATCTACTTAAGAAACTTAAACGCAAATTCTTTTCAAATTGTTCTGTCATATGCATACCTTTCAGTCAAAAGTGATAAAGACTAAAACAGTGTGTGGGACATTAAAATACTTTTTAGCAATTGAGATTTCAACCAAACTCAGTTGCTAAGTAATCTAGCGTTCCACACATTGTTTTATGTTTTTTTTTTTTTTTAATTGTATGTTAAATTATAACAATACGTACATGTCTCATGATCAAGCAGCAAATTTTCAGGCTTGATGTCTTTTTTTCAAGTCAAAAGTTTTGATGAGACTGGAATCTCGGTTGATCTTTTGCCCCTGCGAGGTTAAGCAGGTTTGAGAATTTGCAAGGATCAAATATTGATTTGAAAAACGATATCAAATCTGATAATTTGCGGAATGATAGATGATAAAATAACATTCAATGATGGAGTTCTCTGAATATCGGCACATGACCTCGAGGTAGGTTTTGTCCTTGTTCCTTACTACAATACATGTTCTAACGATTGTTTTAATTTAATGCTAAATATTTTGGAAACTTACTCTCTCGCCAGAGATCATGAACCGTAGTCTTAAACACAAACCGAATAAGAAAGAAAATGTATTTCATATGATGTCTCTTAAAGAACACGAGTAATATTTATTTCCATGTCCATTAATATTAGGTCTTATTAGCCCATTAACAGTTTATTACATTTAAACTACTTGTTTCCATTACATATTGTCACGTTCGGAGAAAGAGCCAAGATGTCGGATTCGATGTCAAACCGATCCACCTGAGGCGAAGTACGCCAAAGTTCCAACGAATGCGGCGTTGATGTAAGTAGCAGGTTCCGAGAGACCGTAACCGTCTCTCCTATCCGGATACTTATCGTTCTGATCTGGACCTCCTACTATTGCTCCTGTCAGAATATTAGGGTTAGGGTTTTGCGTTTCGTAATATTTGAATCCGCCACCGCAGCCTAAGGATTTCGAAGGAAGAGACGATGCTCTGTGGTGGATTCTCATGGGGAATTTGGATCCGAATCCAACCATGTACGACATCTTTTTTGGATTCTCGCCGAGTATGTAATCTACTTGTTGCTTCGATAAGGTTATCAAGGCCTCGGGGTTGACGGAGTTTCCGCAGTAGAATGTGTGTTGTGTGGCTTTCATGTACTTGGCGTAGGTTGTGAGCAAGAATGTTATGGCGGTAACGTGTTGAAGGTTGCTCTGTGGTGACTTGTACATCAAGCCTCCTGTTGTCATTGTTAATAAAAATGTTTTAGGAAGTTATAACGATTAGTATTTCATGTTCTTGACTTAGCTATGTTCACCTTGAGTGTAATGGGTAGATGAAGAGGGAGAGTTTGGGAGGATCTTGCATATGAAACTCTCAGCTTCTTGCTTGTATAGTTCATAGTTGCCGTCTCTGTTAAGTAATGCTCGCTGCCAATAAATTGATTTTCTTTATGTGAAGTGGTGATTAGTCAAATAGAGAGATGCTATGAACTTTTTAACCAACCAAAGTGCATTGGGTTTAGCCACCTTTGGTATGAATGTTCTTCAGAATTTACAAAAGTTAACATGGCCGGCTCTAAGAATTTAGGTACTATAGATATTTCTAAAGATTTTTTTTAATTTGTTAAATATAATTTGAGAGCTTATGCTTATGTAAAATCCTCCAAAAATTTTGGGGACCAAGGCCGTTGGTCTTGGTCCATGTCAAGGCGGATCTATAAGAGACGGGAACTTCCTTAACAAAAAAAAACTTGTTTAAGCAGTGGAGACACACCTGTGAAAGAAGAACATAGGCGCCAGCATATTTGCTGTCCCAGTTGAAACTGTCAGGCTGACCACCACCTCCTAAAGATTCTATGTAGTTTTTGTAATAAGGATCATTAGTCGCTTTTAGCAGCCACGCCGCACCCCACATAAGCTCATCCTGTCATCATAATTCAAAATTTCAAAATGAGGAACCGAGTGTAACATTAAAAGTTTTATGGGAAAGAAATGAGACAAAGTGAGAGTAGACCTTGTAACCAGAGTAGGAGCAGTAGAAAGGGCAGACAGAAGAAGAAAGGGAATCACTGTAGTTTCCTATGTACTGAATAGCAAACTGCATCACATTCTTAGCTGTTGACAACAGCAAAATCGAGTATTCAGAATCAACTTCCCTGAAAACCATAGAAGCTGCAGCCATAGCGGCTGCGGTTTCAGCTGCTACATCAGAACCGGGGTTAGAAGAGGATACTGAGTAGACTGTACGAGGTGTGTCCATGTCTTCAGGCCGTTCCCAGCATTTATGATCAGCATTAGGATCTCCTACACCGACGTAAAGCTTCCCGGGAGTGGCTGTAGCACATTTGAGCAGATAATCCGTGGCCCAACGGATGTTAACACGTGCGTTTTTGAGCTCAGGACCCATCTGGTCACCGTACTCAAGTGTGCTCCATGAAAGCATTGTGGTGGTAAATGCCATTGGGAAGTTGAACTTGACGTTGTCTCCTGCGTCGTAGTACCCACCAGTTAAGTCCACCTGCAAATCATATAAAATATTTATTAAATGTTAGCTGATAAAGCAGAAGATAATATGTTCTATTTTTAGCTCTCATCCTTAATTTCTTGAAATAATTTCCTTTAAAAAATATATATATATATAATGTATATTTTTTTCCTTAAAATATCACTGATAAAATTATAAGAGGTTTAGTGTTTTTGGGGTGTACATTGGCGGAGGAGCCATCAGAGAGGCCGGAGCTAGCCCTCCATGAGAGTTGTTGGTCTGTTGGGAGGGGACCGGATCGTTGACCTTGGAAGAAGAGCAATGACTTGGAGAGAGCGTCTACGTAATTTGGACTGGCATCAACATTTTGAGTGAGAAGAGACGAGAAAAGGAAAACTAAGAAGAGAAGAGAAGTCATTTTTCTAAAGGCAGAGAAGTTTATTAGATTTGAGTTTTGAGGTACCAATATATGATATGAACGTCCACATATATATACACAGCAATGGATACGAGAGGGTTTTGATACGGCACTGATGGAAGTGCCAAATACGGCTTCTTGGAAAGAAAAAAACTAATTGACCTTAATTTCTCCAGTCTAAATTATATACCTTAGTATATTTTAGTTTAGTTAAAATCAGGAAAAAATAATGAAGTTTTACTTCATTTATGAAAAAAGTATTTTTAACAACATTACTTATTTTGGGAAATGGTAACATCACCTGTTTAATTTGTTTATAATTTGATGTTTACTTACCGCTTAACAAAAATTATATGGTTAGTTTGAGTTTTCCTTTTTAAGGATGAGGATAACTGGTAGTTTATAGTTAAACTAGGTTAGGGGTTTTAAATTTAAAAAGAGGAGACAAAACATAAGAATGAATCTTACGTGAATGCCAAGATAACATAGCATAGAGTTTGAGTATATCAAGGAGGTGGTTGACATGATCACCACTCTCAAGGACGACGAAGAGCTCCGTCTATCCCAGCTTCAAACCGATCTCGACTCCACTTCGACAGCCTCGGTCTCCCTGTCCCGAGAACGAATCAACGAGATTGTTGAATTGGTCAGATGTTTTCATAAAAATTCAATTCATTTATTTCTTTATTTTTATTTTATAATATTTTTATTACTAAAATTTGTTTATTTTTTTTTCAGTCGGTTCCAACGAAGAAGGGACGTTTGATCGGTTTGGGTCGTCGATCCAAATCGGTTCCTCCTACATCACAACCGCCTATTGATCCAATGGTTATGGAGCAGCTGCAGGACAAGGATGACCGCATAGCTGCGTTGGAGGCGAAGATGGAGGAACAAGAGAAGGGGTGGGAGGCATCGAGGAAGCAGAACGAGCGCATGATGGAGATGATGAAGCGGATGTAACGAAAAATTCCCGTAGTTTTTTTTTTTTCAAAAACTCTGAATGTTTTTTTATTTGAACTACTCTATTATCTAATATATTTTCAGTTTTCAATTTTCTTTTATATTTTCGAATTTTAATTAAAAAACAATTAATTTATAATTAAAAAATATAAATTTTGGAAAATTCCGAAGAAATTAATTTCCGAGGAAATTGAGTCCTCGGAAATTTCTGAGGAAATTGAGTCCTCAGAAAATTCCGAGGAACTGGGCTTCCTCGGAATATTCCGAGGACACTAATTCCTCGGAAATTTCCGAGGAAGCCCAGTTTCTCGGAATTTTTCGATTCCTCGGAATTTTCCGAGGAATGTGTCTGTCGGAAAATTCCGACGACATGATGTCCTCGGAAAATTCCGAGGAAACTTGTCGTCGAAATTTTCCGATAACTTCTCTCCCTTGGAATGTTTCCATCGGTAAAATCCGAGAGAATTCCGAGGAAACGTCTGACGAAATTGTTTGTCGGAATGTCCTCGGAATTGTGGTTCTCGGTATTTCTTCAGAATTTTTCGAGGAAATTCCGAGGAAACCAGAATTTCCGACGAAAATTTTCCGACGACCGGTTTCGTCGGTATATCCTCGGAATACCCTTATTCCGACGACATTCCGACGAATTTTTTCGTCAGAATCGCCGTGTTTTCTTGTAGTGTATGAAGAACAAGAGAGAAAGCAATAGAATTATAGAGAGAAAATATGACTGAATAATTAATTATATACTGATTCTTCTGTGTTTTATACTTTTTAAACTTACTTTGTAGATTATCTATAATTCTATATGTTAATCACTAAAATTTTGGGAACCGAAATAAATGTTTCATATTGCACCGGCTCTGCTGTTCCATGTCACTGATCATACGGCATATTTACCACGGTTTAAGCTGGCAAACGCGTGATGCATGGAAGACTAACGCGGATCTAATTTTTTTTTTTTTTTTTTGAATCTAACTTATTTGTAACTGTACCCGTTACATGTCATAAAGGGTTTGCATGAGACTAAGGGAAGATGAGATTTCACAATAAAGTCATCATATTTTTTGTTTTGTTTTGTCTCAGTGTATGAGACTAAGGGAAGACAAAGCAATTACCTTTTTTTCTTCCTACTCTGTGTTTCCCCGTATGGCCCTACCCAGTGATACAACTCGGATAATTTTTGTTAATGTTTTTATGTCAAATAGTTTTTTTTTTTTTGACAAAATGGGAATTCATTTCATAGAAATGGCATTGAGATACAATAGCTTTAATTCTGCTAGAACTAGCAAAGGTTATCTAAGAATCCCCCAAAAAGATAAAAAAATATTATTAAATACAATGTTATGCTTAATCTAATAAAGACTAAGGCTAAATCATGTCAAATAGTTTTTCTGATGTCTTTTAAGAGTCATGCATATAATTACTTTGTTTTGTTTCAGTGTAGTTAGCCAACGATAATGTCGAGTGTAAATGAACTTAAATAAAACGTTGACAGATATTCCGGAGAGGGCACTGAATTGAGTTTAGGGTTTATGTGGAAACTTTTGAGACAAGTTGTCCTATTCATTGACGAAGACTTGGAGAAGCCAACCAACAAGTTGACGCATGACTGGCTAAGTCATATCCCGACTTAGGGTTTCTACGAATTCTCCTTCTTAGAGAGTGAATAATATAAACATAACCCAACACAAACTCAGATAAAGAGACGATAATATAAAGTTGTTGACTTATTGTTATTGCTTTTGGTTTTATTAAGCACCGCACTAATAGCATAGTACAGTCAGCAGATACTCAAAAGGCCAAAACGAGCCTTTCACTATTTTTCTTACTATCATTTGATAATATAGTTCACTAAACAAAAACTATCAATTGATAATATAGTTGAAGGGATCGCTAGATGTTAGTTACGGGATTTATATGAGATTACTGATTAGACATATAGACCAATTCTTCTAGTGTTTTTATCGATTTTTATTATAAAAAATAATATTATGAAAAGTTCATTACGTTTATGTCTGATTTATCTACTAGGCGGACACGCATGGACTGAACTGTTTTTTAAAATACTGGAGTGACACATAGCCACATAGTTTATCAACTTATTTAGAGAGTCTCGTACCACAGAACCATTTCTTATATCTCTCTAATAAGAATTTTAAAGCATATGTTGTTTAAAGTCTTGTTCGTTTTCGTACTGAATTTTCCAGACGTGGCTGTGTTTGTATATTTCAATTTAATGTTTTTGTAGTAAACATGTTTAACTTAGCTTGATATGCAATACGAGACTTTTCTCCGCAAATATTAAACTAGCAGTAGCCTTATGAAAATTCTTCCTTCTATAGTTCTATTATTATATTTTTTGTAAAATTCTATAGTTCTAATTATTACATATCTTAGAACATTATTATTGCAGGTTTTTTAAGCCGAATTTTTTTTTAAAAATATAAGAAACTCTTTTTTAACTTTTTATTAAAAATTAAGAAATTATTTTTTATATTCTCCTAAGAATCCACCCTAATAAATCTGCAATAATGATTCTAAAAATGGTCTGTGCTTTACTTGTACTACAACATGTTTTCTCTTCTTTTCACACTTTCCCAACACTCTTCCTTCTCCCACACGTCAATCATATCCCTGCCCCACGGTTACGATGTTGAATAGTGTGGCTGTGCGGGGCTTGTAAGCTGCAATTCTTCCTCTGATTCTTGGAAGAATTTACGATCATAACTATACAAAGAGTGAATACAGTTATACACATTAAATTTTTAGAGGGTCACAGGTCTAAATTTATTTATATATATATATATATATATGGATATATATCTTATTATATAAAATTTAGTTATTCAAACTTGATAATTAACATGATTGTGACACATGGTAATTATATATTTAAAATTGTGACATGCATTAAATTATCTCATAATTAAAAAAAAAAAAATATATATATATATATAATAAAATAATAACAAGACGAATTTTGTTAAAAAATAATTATAAACATTATCTAACAGTAATTTTCCGTTTTTAATTTTGTTGGGGAAAGTGTTTAGGTTATGATATCCTTAGGTTTGAGTTGAGGTTTTGGTTTTGTTGCGTATCCTAGTCCTGAAGAAGCTTTAAAAGCTGTTTGTGATGATTTTCATTTGCGATGGTGACTGTACAGATGAATGAAATGAATGGGAAGATGATTGGTAGGAAACGGAAATCTCTTCACATTGCTTTGGCTCAACGCAAGGAAGAGAGACTAGATCACCTTCAGGTTCTTATATATATCTCTCTCTGAACTATTTGTGACACTGATGACCCTCACATTATCTGTATGTTTTGTCAACAAATGGCACTGTCTACATCCTTTGATTTCTAATCTCAACCGGAAGAATGGTTTTATTAAATGAAGTCTCTTAATTAAGAACACGATTAACATTTATTATCAGGTCCAATAATATTGGACCTTAGCTCATTAAGAAGTTACACATTTAAATTATTTGTATCAACTAGATATTGTCACATTCGGCTTCGGCCAACGGTTTCAAGCCGATCCACCGGAGGCGAAGAACGCCAAAGTCCCGACAAAGGGAGCGGTGATGTAAATAGTAGGTTCCGATTGAATGTAAACTCCTCTGTCATCTGCATACCCATCCTTCTCATCTGGACCTCCTACGATTGCACCAGTGAGAATGTTAGGGTTAGGGTCTTGATTGTCTCTATATTGGCCTCCATCTCCGCAGCGGAAGGGTTCCGGGTGACTTGCTTTGGAAGGAAGCGACGATGCTCTGTGGTGGATCCTCATGGGGAAATTTGGACCGAAACCAACCATGTAGGACATTGTTTTTGGGTTCACGCCGAGTATGTAATCCACTTGTTGCCTCGACAAGTTTATCAAGGCCTCGGGGTTTACGAGGATGGAGTTTCCGCAGTAGAATGTGTGTTGTGTGGCTTTCATGTATTTTGCGTAGGTTGTGAGCAAGAATGTTATGGCGGTTACGTGTTGAAGGTTGCTCTGAGGTGACTTGTACATCAAGCCTCCTGTTGTCATTGTTAATAAAAATGTTTTAGGAAGTTATAACGATTAGTATTCATGTTCTTGACTTGGCTATGTTCACCTTGAGTGTAATGGGTAGATGAAGAGGGAGAGTTTGGGAGGATCTTGCATATGAAACTCTCAGCTTCTTGCTTGTATAGTTCATAGTTGCTATCTTTGTTAAGTAATGCTCGCTGCCAAAAAACGTGAAATGTTTTTGTTGTGAATTAGTGAATAGAAAAAAAATATTTTAGCAGAGAAATATATATACCTGTGAAAGAAGAACATAAGCGCCAGCATATTTGTTGTCCCAGCTGAAAATGTCAGTCTCATCTCCACCTCCTAGAGATCTTATAATGTTTTCGTAATTCGATTCATCGGTTGCTTTCAGCAGCCAGGCCGCACCCCACATTAGCTCGTCCTGTCATCATAATTTTTTTACATTTTTATATATATATATATGTTAGCAGTAAAAGTTTTTTTAATTAGTTGCAATAATAAAAGAGATGGGACATATGAAAAGCAGACCTTGTAACCAGAGTAGGAGTTGTAAAAAGTACGGACATTCAAAGGAAGGGTATCACTGTAATTTCCTTGGTGCTCAACGGCAAACTGCATCACAATCTTAGCTGTTTCCAACAGCGAACGCGAGTACTGAGGATCAACTCCTCTGAAAACCATAGAAGCTGCAGCTAGAGCTGCTGCGGTTTCAGCTGCAACGTCAGAACCGGGGTTAGAAGAGGATACTGAGTAGACTGTACGAGGTGTGTCCATATCTTCAGGCCGTTCCCAGCATCCGTGATCAGCATAAGGATCTCCTACACCGATATAAAGCAGCCCTGGAGTTGCTGTAGCACATTTCAGCAGATAATCCGTGGCCCAACGGATGTTAACACGTGAGTTTTGGAGCTCAGGACCCATCTGGTCACCGTACTCAAGCGTGCTCCATGCAAGCATTGTGGTGGTAAACGCCATTGGGAAATTGTGTTTGACGTTGTCTCCTTCGGTGTAGTACCCACCAGTTAAGTCCACCTGCAAAATCATATAATATTATTTATTAAATGTTACTGATAAAAGCAATAAAAGACAAAGTTTTAACCCTCATCCTAAATTTCTTAAAATGATATTTACATTTTTAAATAAATAATACTATACGAGGTTAAGTGGTTTTAGGGTGTACATTGGCGGAGGAGCCATCAGAAAGGCCGGAGCTAGCCCTCCATGAGATTTTTTGGTCTGGTGGGAGAGGGCCTGATCGCTGACCTTGGAAGAAGAGCAATGACTTGGAGAGTGCGTCTACGTAATTTGGACTGGCATCAACATATTGAGTGAGAAGAGACGAGAAAAGGAAAACTAAGAAGAAAAGAGAAGTCATTTTTTCAAAGGCAGAGAAGTTGATTGGTTTTGAGTTTTGAGGTGCCAATCTATGATATGAACATGCACATATATATACACAATAATGGAGAGAGAGATGCAGAGATATGAGAGGGATTTGATACGGATGTGGAAGTAATACATACGGCATTTTGCATGACTCAAATATACATTCTCCAGTGAAGATAAAGGGTTTGCATGAGACTAAGGGAAGAAGGAAGCGTGAATATTGAACTGAGTTTAGGGTTTATGTGGTCCAATTAGTTGACGAAGTCTTGGATCCGACAAGTTGACGCAAGACTTGCTAAGTTACATCCCCACTTGGGGGTTGTTCGTAGAGAGTGAATCATTTAGATATATCAGTACTATTAAGACAAGAACACATTTTATCTACTTGCAAGTAGTCTATGTTGGACTATTACATTTATTTAATTTCCTTTTTATTCTCCTATAACTAACTTAATTATCATTTAAATGTATATTATGCTTAACCAATTATTTTAATATTTTCAAAATAAGATATTTAAAAAGATATTCTTAAGTATCTTTTCCTAAGATTAGATTATAATAATATATTTTGATATCTTTTATCTAAAATTTAAATATACCTATCTTTGTAATATCTATTATATTAAAAGAGAAGTCACAACTTCTTTTCATGTGTGATATTTTAAAAAATGAACTATTAGGAAGTAATGTTTCACTTATATCTTAATAACACTTTACTTAACTTAATTACAATATCTTTTGATATCTTTTCTTTATTTGAAATAAGATAAAAAATTTAAAGAGAATTATAACAAAATCTTCTAGAATCTTTTTTAAAAAAATATACTAAATTTTTAAAAATGAATAGATACCAATTCATTGTAATTAGAAAAAGACACAAGTGAACTTTATTCATAAGTAAAGTCGAGTTAAATAAGAATATAAATTTTTATTATTATTTTTGTGTTTCACTTAACGTTGGAATATGTCAATTATTTTTATTAGTTTGTGTTAAAAATGAATGACATAAATTTTAATGTTATATGATAGACATATTTAAAGCTATGACTTATAATGGTGTAAATTAAAAAAAAATCATATATAAAATAAGTCATGAAATCAATATTCTTTATTTACAATGTAAAATGCATTTTTGAAAATTAATCAATTTAAACTGTTATTATCATTAAATATAATTAAAATGTTTATATAACTGCCTTTTTATTATCAAAAAGAAATTAAAATTTAATTACTAATTACATTTAATGACAATTAATAAATTATATGAACATGATATATTAATATATTTTTGTTTCATAAATATTATCTAAAATTAGTAAGCATAAATAAATGAACATTTGCTTGACAAAAAAACAATAAATAAACATTTAAAGATATGAATATAATTAATAATATATACTAATAATGATGTAAACAAAAATATATATATATATATATATATATGTATATATATAAATGAAATTAAACACCCGCTCGGTTGAGCGGGTCAAAATCTAGTTTATGTTAAATAATAAAATTCATAATTAATATTAACTATAGTTAAAAACGAATACTAATTCATTTCATTTTTATAATAAGAAATAAATTTATATACATAATTTATATTCATAATTAAATTACTACACCAAGTAATAAATATAAAGTAACCATTAGAATTTTTACATGATGTGTTTTTTATTTTAAAACCAAACCAGATTACATATAATATCATCAGTTTTGTGGGTTTAACTACGGGTCCGAATTGATTTTCAGAATACTAAATATAACGCTTCATGTTTAACATTTAAATGTAAATACATAATGAAAAATGCAAATTTATATCATATAAATTTGGTTTGTTTTAGAAATAATCCCGCACTTTGAACCGTAGCTGAATCCCAGGTTTTAACGGGATTTTTGCGGGTTTTATATAACTTTAAAATAATGAGCTATTAAAACAAACAAACCGGGTTACATAAAAAGTCATTAGTTTGTCGGTTTAACCACGGACCCGGGTCGTATTTCAGAACACTGAATATAACGCTTCATGTGTAACATTTAAATGTAGATACATATTCAAACATAAAAATATATATCATATATATTTGGTTTACAGAATTTTTAAATAATGAATTAAAAAAAAACAACTTACATATAAAGTCATCATTTTTTTTGGTTTAATTACGGGTCCGGATCGTGTTTCAGATCACTGAATATAACGCTTCATGTTTAATATTTAAATTTAGATACATAATCAAAAATATAAATTTATATCATATAAATTTGATTTGTTTCGAAAATAATCATGCGCTTTGAACCGGTAGCTGAGTCCCAAGTTTTAGCGGGTTTTTTGTGGGTTTTATAGAATTTTAAATAATGAGCTTTAAAAAAAATCAAACTGGTTACATATAACATTACCGGTTCTGTTGATTAACCACGGATCCGGATCGTGTTTCAAAACACTGAATATAACGCTCATGTGTAACATTTAAATGTATATATATAGTTAAATATGCAAATTTATATCATATAAATTTGGTTTGTTTCGAAAAAATCTCGCGCTTTGAAAGCGCGGGTCAAAATCTAGTGATCATATAAAGCTATATATTGTTATTGATTTTGGTATTATTAAAGTACCCCAAGGGAGATATTCACTAAGCCCCTCACCATAAAATAAATAAAAACTAGTTTAGATTTGTTAACTTTATTGGTGAAATGATCACATCATTATAATATCAACCTTTGTAACTTATTTAGTTTAGGAATAAAGATTTCCACAAATTTGTCTTCATTAACAAATGTTTCAATAATATTTTAATATATTCAATTACATTTCAAATATATTTTAATTATACTTGGTAATATCATCTATAATAACAATAATTCAACAATAAATATTAATGATTATAGTGACAATCTTAATAACTACTAGAATTTGACCCGCGCAACCGCGCGGGTGTTTGTTTTCGTTTATAGTTAGTTATATAAACATTTTGTTTTCACTTGTAAATTGATATATATTATAGTAATCACATATTTACGATATGTATAGTAAATATTTTTCAAACATAATAATGTTATATAATAAGTGTATTAATCAAATAGATTGTTTCAAATTTTCTATATTATACATGTTTTTCAAACATTTGTTTGTTTCTTCTTCTATATTTTATTCTTTGTTAGATTAATATTTCATTTTTAGATAAAATAATATAAATAGAGCTTGATTAAATATTAGTGTATTTTAATTTGCAAAGATAATATAAACTTCGAAGAAATTTTTGCTAAAAACTAAACTTATAGCTTCATAAATTAATATTATAAAGAATTTTATTAAAAAAAAAATTTAAAAAAAAATTTTAAACAATATAATTTTAAAAATTTACATCGAAATAAATTTATCTAATATATATAGCGTGTAAATTTTGTTAGAGTATATAAATATTTCATATTACTAATATGTGATTTTTGTTAATATATTGTGGATGCATTTAACTATTATTGACATATTTCCTTATAATAATAGAAGATTCCTAAACTTATATCTATTGACATATTTTATGTGACTAAATTGGAAGGTGTATGGTAATTTACCAAAATCAAATGATTAAGCGTATTATAAGATATAATAATGATAAGATTATTAGAAAAGTTAATGTAACATAACTTTCTAATAATAGTTCATTTTTTAAAAAAATCACACATGAAATCAAGTCATGACTTCTGTTATAATATATAAGATATTAGCAAATGCAATATCTTAGCTTGAAAATGGAACTTTATCCTCCTCATATCTTAATTGTGGTAGGTAGCCTTATGGAAAATCTTTATTAGAGCACCCTCATCAATAAATTTGGGGAGGGGTTCACAGCTTTAATTTTTTTATTTTATTTTTTTCATTTGTTTTTGTTTTAAAAAAAATAAAAAATAAGCGGACCAATCGAGGACTACCACGTGGTGTGGAACCCGCAAAACAATTATGAAACGAGTTCAACCGGAGGCATCCCTGTGACCCGAATTCACTGTGTTTCACTTGTACTACACCCTATTTAAAGTCTTCCTTATCCCACACGTCAATAATACTATCCCTGCCCGTAAGGTTACGATGTTGAATAGTGCGGCCGTATAGGATATGTCCTGATTCCTGGAAGAGTTTACGATCATAACTATAGAATCGTGAATAAACATGAATTTTTATTGGGCCACAAGTCCAAATATAAATATGAACGGTCGCTCGATAGTGTTAAACAAGTGAGGAGATTCATCTAACATATTTTAAATTAGCAAAGGAGCATATGGGCAAATCGTGGTATTGGGGGCCTTCACATGCATAATGGGCTTTCAGTCGTCGTCTCAAATGAGACAATTTACGTACGATAGAACTAGTGACCGACGATCATCAATTCACCATCCCTTTCCTGTGCCAGAGAGAGCTGTTCCCTAATACCTTCTGGATAATTAATAGCTGATTTGGATCTTTTGATTTGTCAAACCATTTTCTTCAGATGATCTGTGAATAACGATAATATACTTATGGTATATAAAGTGAACAGAGAATTAACAGTTTCATGCAGAATACTAAGTCGAAAAGTTTGTGATATTCTTTGTTCACTTTCCTCTGTTGAATTTCTTTTGAATGCTTACATGACATGAATGCAAACTATTTGTATACTTTGCTGCCGAAAAATCTACAGGTTAAAAGATAATGTATAGTAAACTTATTCCACAAGTTATTAGACTACAAAACCAACGAATTCTAGCCAAGTCTTATTTTTTTTCTTTTTAATCCAAAAAGTTCATGTTGAAGTTAGACAAGACACAACAATAAAAAAAACGATGATTTGTGACATCTGACATGTAAAAGTTATCCTACATTACTACATTTTATTTGTGTAGTTAACAATGCATGTTTTTGTTGGTAAGATTTTCAATGCGACCAATAGTTGTAGACTACAACTTGTAGTTCGTGTAGCTAGCAAACACAATGAATGAGTCAGTATTTATGTGGAAAAT